CCCCCCCCCCCCCCCCCGCGCTGTGGTGCGGCGCCTGCCGTGGTGCCGGGTGCCTCTGCAGCGCAGCGCAGCGCATAACCGGTGACGGGGTGACGGCTGCTCGCTGCTGTGGGCTGTGTCGGGTGAATCTGCAGGAACCTTTCCAGCACAGAAGTCTGTGGCGGCGTGCCTGCAGGCGTCCCGCAGCCGGTAAGCGCCCTGCTTTTCTTCCCGGGACAGCTGGGGCCTTGGCAGGAGGACCCCTGGGGAAGGACATTGCTTCCCCTCCTTCCCTGCCTAATCCTCGCCCTAGAGCTTGCGCCCCCCTGCTATCCAACCCGCCTCCCTGCCCGGCCGCTGCAGGTGTGCGATTCTGGGACTAACGACTGCGTGACGCTGCGGCCCCTGCGCCCCATCGACGCCGCCGCCGCCGCGGCCCCCGCGCCCGCCTCGGCCGCCGCCGCCGTTGACGCCAGGTGCGCTGAAAGCCTTTGGGGGCATCCCTCCCTCGGTGCTGCCCCGCCCCAGAGCTTACTTGCAAGAAGCGCTGCGCCGCGTGGCAGGCTGCGGCCTGCCAGACGGCTCTCCCTCCGACCAAACTTCCTGCCCAGTTTGTTTTGGTCGTCCATGGGTGTGCTCGTGTCTGAGCGCGTGGGCGTCTGTGTGCCGCTGCTCCTGCAGGCACCTCCTCCTCCTCCGTCCCAGTGGCGGCCATTGTGGGCGGGGTGTTGGGCGGCCTAGGTGCGTGCTCCTCTCAGCCTGCCTGTCTTGGCCGGGGCCAGCCGCTGCGCCCCTCCTCGCCATCAGCCCGGCTCTGCCTGCCTTCCTCCTTTCAAACTCCCCTTGCTTCGTGCCTCCCGCCGCGCGCCCCTCCACACACACGAACCCTCCACGACCCTCTTGCTTCCCCTCCACGCCCGCTTGCTGATCACACACCCACACCTCCCTGCTGCAGCCGTGCTGGCGGGGCTGGCCGTGATCGCTTTCAAGGTCCGCCAAGCCCGGCAGCGGCCGACCGGCGGCGGCGGCAAGAGCTTGGAAGGTGACGGCGGCGGCGGCGCTATGCCGCCGCCTGTACCCCGGCAGTCCCCGCACTCGCTGGACAGCATATATTTATGGCGGTACAGGGCAAGGGCGGTACTGTGGCTGGCGGCGCCGTGCCCGCTGGTCTCCCCGCCCACCACCACGGCGGCGCTCTGGAAAGCGACCCCGTCCTCAACTTCATCTCCTCCCGCCTCCCGTCCATGCGCCTCCTGCGCGCCGGCTCCAAGCCCTCGGCAGAGGCAGCAGCAGCAGCGGCAGCAGGCGCAGGAGCGGCCGGCTCGACCGCCGCCACCGCCGGCAGCACCGCTGCAGGCAGCTCGGCAAGCAGCATGCGGGCGGTGCCGTCGGGCGGATCGGCCTCTGCTTCGGGCGTCAGCGCCGGGGCGCGGACCATCAGCGGCGGCGCCAGCAGCGCAGGGGAGCTGTCGCCGGAGGTGCAGCAGTGGGAGGTGCTGTGGGAGGATCTGGCGCTGGAGAAGCTGATCGGAAAGGGCTCCTTTGGGCGGGTACGCCTGGGGCCGCAGCTTCGCGGCGGCTGCCGGTGGGGGTCGCCGCCAGCGGCGCCTAGCATGCCGGGGCTGCGCCGCCCGCGGCCGCTGCCTTTCCCTGTCTGAAGCTTTCCCTGCCGCCGAGCGGACGCCACCGCCGCTACTGCTTCCGCCTCCCACACGCACTTACGTGCATCTGCCGCCTCACACGCACACACACAGTGCAACCTAGCCCAGCCTACCGCCTCCCGCCATGCAGGTCTACCTGGCCCAGTGGCTGGAGCACCCGGTGGCGGTGAAGCTGCTGATGGCGGTGGACGAGTGCTCCGACGAGTCCTTCCTGCTGCCCGAGGGCGTGCTGCGGCAGCTGGTGGCGGAGGCCGCGGTACTGGTGCGCATGCGCCACCCAAACGTCGTCTCCTTCCTGGGCCTCTGCACCCTGCCGCCCTGCATCCTCACGGGTGAGTAGTCTCCTGAGGGGAGGGGCCATGGCAGGGCAGGGCAGGGCAGGCCAGGCGGTGCGCAGCGGGGGCAAGGAGGCGCAAGGCATGGCCAGGGGCCGGGACAGGCCCGCAGCGGGGCTGCTGCATGCCCGCCGCTTGGCAGCCCGGCGGCGGGCGCTTGGCAGCCTCTCCTCCCCGCTGCTTTCCCAACCCCACCCGCTCCAACCCGCCACCACCTCACCCGCCCACCCACCCCATACCGTGCCGCATTGTACTGCAGAGTACTGCCAGCGTGGCTCGCTGTACGACGTGCTGCGCGGCGGGCTGCGCAACCCGGCCGCCGCCGCCGAGCTGACCTGGCCGCTGCGCCTGCAGATGGTGGGCGGGCGGCCGTGCCTGTGGCATGCGGGTCGAGGGCACAGCACTACGTGCCTGCCTGCCTGCCTGCCTGCCTCCCGCCTAGCCGCCTACCTGCCGCGGCCCGCTCCTCGTGCCTGAGCAGCTGCCACGCCTCGCACCTGCTGGCTTCCGACGATCCTCCCGAGCTGGCTGTCCTCCCTGCCGCAGGCGGTGGACGCCGCCCGCGGCCTGCTCTACCTGCACCGCCACTCGCCGCCCATCATCCACCGAGACGTGAAGAGCCCCAACCTGCTGGTGAGGCCCAACCTGCTGGCGTGCATCTCCGTGTGTGCTGTCCCTGCCCCTCCCCCTGCGCTCCTCTCCCTGACCCTGACGTTTCTGAGTGTGCCGGTGCCCGCGCCTGCGCCTGTTCCTGTGCTGTGCCCGCGCCGGTGCCTACTCCTGTGTGCTCAGGACACCACACAGTGTCCAACCTATCCACCCACCCTCCCACCCACCCGTGCCCCCCTTCGCAGGTGGACCGGCACTGGGCGGTCAAGGTCTCCGACTTCAACCTGTCCAAGATCTTCGAGCCGGTGGCCGGG